CTCTGTCCACACCTTTGGGGATCCCTGGACCTGCTGGGGTTGGACCCCAACATCTGGAGCCCGAACAGGGACCCCTACGTAAATTCTCCCTTTTTTCTGTTATTGTATCACCCATCATGAGGAAGCTGGACCCCAACAAAAGTATCTACACAGTGAAGATTTATTTTTTAAAAACCAGGTAGAGATCTTTTCCCAGTCTCGGTTTGACGACTCCATTTTCCTCAGTGGGGGCTTGGCGCGACAGAGAAGTGGCGAACTTCAGTCTTCTTCGCCTTGGCACACTGTGAGAAGCTGCAGCAATGTCTGCTTTTGTAGAAAGTGAGGCTGAGGTGTCCGAAGAAGAGTACAACGATGAAGGCGAGTCACCAAGAAATTTGTGGAAGAAGAGGATGACGATGAAGAGGAGGAGGAGGAGAACCCAGATGATCAGGATAAGCAAGGCAACCTGAAAGGCTTTATCAATGATGATGAAGATGAAGGGGAGGAGGATGAGGGTAGTGACTCTGGTGATTCAGAAGATGATGTTGATCACAAAAAGAGAAAACGCACGTCTTTTGATGACCGCCTGGAAGATGATGATTTTGATCTCATTGAGGAGAATTTGGGTGTCAAAGTCAAAAGAGGACAAAAATACTGCCGTATCAAAAAAATGTCAGATGATGAGGATGATGACGAGGAGAAATATGGCAAAGAGGAACGTGAAAAAGAGGCCATTGCAGAGGAAATCTTCCAGGATGGCGAAGGGGAAGAAGGGCAGGAGGCCGTAGAGGCCCCCATGGCTCCTGCAGAGGAGGAAGAGGAAGATGATGAAGAGTCAGGTATGTGGCATCAGGCAGGGAAGCCAATGTTTGGGTGAGTGTTGGGATTTCCTAGCCCCTAGGAATAGGATGGGAAACCAGATACAGGCCCCCAGTATTTGACACAAAAAAGTTTCTCTTTAGGAGCTTCTCTAATCTTCTCCACTGGCCACTCATAATAGAAACTAAAGCCACCTAGTCCTGGCTCATCTTCTGCCTCTGAGCACTAACCCCTCCCTTTCCTGCCCAGACATTGACGACTTCATTGTGGATGATGATGGACAGCCTCTGAAGAAACCTAAGTGGAGGAAAAAGCTTCCTGGATACACAGATGCGTGAGTGGGGTCTGTTACAAGGTGGTGATAATGGCATCTGAGTGAACCCAGTCAAGACAGAGTCAGCTCTAGCCAGTTTGGCTCAGTGGATAGGGCATTGGCCTGCATGCAGACTGAAGAGTTTCGGGTTCAGTTCTAGTCAAGGGCATGTACCTCAGTTGCAGACGCGATACCTTGCCCCAATCTGGGCTCGTGTGGGAGGCAACCAATCGATATTTCTCTCTGTCTCTCTCTCTCCCTTCCACTCTCTCTAAAACAAAACAAACAGTGGAAAAAGTATTTTTGGGTGAGGATTAACAGATCCACTGAACTGGATAGGAATCCATTTGCCCTGTTGCTATTTGATCCCTGTCACTAGCATTTGTCAAAGATGGGCTTTTTATCCTTCATAAATCATACCCCTAGAAATATCCTCCAGCTAAGCCTTTATTCCTCATGAATATGCTTTTTTAGTGATTTTAGAGAGAAAGAGAGGAAGGGAGAGGGATAGAGATAGGAACATCAACGAGAGAGAGCATCATGGATCAGCTGCCTCCTGCATGCCACCTACTGGGAATTGAGCCCACAACCCGGGTATGTGCCCTGACCAGGAATGGAACCATGACCTCCTGGTTCCTAGGTCGAAGCTCAACCACTGAGCCACACAGGCCAGGCTGAATATGCTTTTTTATTTGCCTTTCTCTTAACTTTTTAGTTGCCTTGGAGCAAGTAAAGGATCAGTGCAGGTGCTGCATTTCTCTCCTCTCACCAGAACCTGAGCCAACGGCCTTTTGCTGTCACCCACAGGGCCCTGCAAGAAGCCCAAGAGATTTTTGGTGTGGACTTTGACTATGACGAATTTGAGAAATACAATGAATATGATGAAGAACTGGAGGAAGAGTATGAGTATGAGGATGATGAAGCCGAGGGTGAGATCCGAGTGCGTCCCAAGAAGACCACCAAGAAACGTGTGAGCCGCAGGAGCATCTTTGAGATGTATGAGCCCAGCGAGCTGGAAAGCAGTCACCTCACAGATCAGGACAATGAAATCCGAGCCACCGACCTGCCTGAGAGGTTCCAGGTAAGAAACCACCAGCCTCTGTCCTGCTGATTTGTCATCACCTTGCCTGAGCATCTTTGCTGCAAGGGTTGTAGCAGAGAAACAACCTAACAACAATCTGATAGCAAATGGTGTCTAAGAAGTCAGCTTTGAACTCCATCTGAATAAGAGGTATAGGGAGTCCAGCTCTTATAGGAGGGAAGATAGACTCTAGTGCTGCTTGTGGTTCTTGAAATGGCACTCGCTCTTTAGCAAAATATGAAGTGCCTGCCTACTTCCTGCCAGGGTGACACTCTTCCAGGTATTGGAAATGTGTGCCTGCAGAGCACACTTTTGACCAGAGTGGTGTGTGTTTTTCCTATGTCGGATATAAGAAAAAGTCAGTCTCACTCTGTTGTCTTATTCCTTGCAGCTCCGCTCTATCCCAGTCAAAGTGGCTGAAGATGATGAACTAGAAGAAGAGGCTGACTGGATCTACAGGAATGCTTTTGCCACACCAACTATTTCTCTGCAGGTACCCCCCAAAATGATCCTTATGTTTGACATGAACCAGAAGTTGAGCTGCTCCTCCCGTGTGTGTGTGTGTGTGTGTGTGTGTGTGTGTGTGTGTGTGTGTGTCTCCACACATGGGTGTATGAGAGATTTTTCTAGATTTCATCTGACAGGATCATCCTGTGACATGAAGCGGTTTCAGAAAGAAGTGATGAGACAAAACAGGTAACAGTATTGTTGCTGTTTCTTTTTTCTCCCAACTGTAGGAAAGCTGTGATTACCTGGACAGAGGGCAGCCAGCCAGCAGCTTTAGTCGAAAAGGGCCCAGTACAATTCAGAAGATTAAAGAGGCCCTGGGCTTCATGCGAAATCAGCATTTTGAGGTAGCACCTCAAGTTCTAGTGGCCCATTTCCAGTGGTTAGAAATTCATCTAGAGGATGAGGGTCAAGATAACCCCCTTTTCCTGTCCTCAGCAGTGGTCCCTAGACTCAAAAAGTGTGAGGACTAAAGGAGACCCTAGTGATCAAGAGAACAATGCTACTCTCTCTGCAGCAGTTTCTTCCCCTGTGGCTGGAGAGCATGCCACACTGGATGGGCTTGTGAGGGAGGCCACACTTCCAAACTGATGAATATCCTGGACTATCTATCCCAGTGGCAAAGGGGATCTGAACAGATCTTTCTCCTCTGGTTGACTATGGTCTCCTTGCCACCCTAGGTGCCTTTTATTGCCTTCTACCGGAAGGAGTATGTGGAGCCTGAGTTGCACATCAATGACCTGTGGAGGGTGTGGCAGTGGGATGAAAAGGTAATATTGATCCATGCCCCCCAAGGGGCTGAGGGCTGGATTGGGCACCATTACCACCGGGGCCCAACCTCTCTCAGCAGCCCAAACCCCCACCAGGCCTGTCAAGTTTCCCAGGGTCTCCTGGTAAGGAACAGAACAGCCTTGGGACTCCAAGGCTGAACACCAGCCCTTACTGCTGCCCTATCCCATCCTAGTGGACCCAGCTGAGAATCCGCAAAGAGAACCTAACGCGGCTGTTTGAGAAGATGCAGGCTTATCAGTACGATCAAATCTCTGCTGATCCTGACAAACCTCTAGCTGATGGCATCCGGGCTCTGGACACGTGACAAATCTGCTGCCAGTCCAGTTGTGATGAGTATACCAGAAAGAGCTTCAGAGTCATCTTCAGAGGGAAAAGATCATTATGAAATTTTTGTGAAAGTTAAGGACACTCATGAAAAAAGCAAGAAGAATAAGAACCGTGATAAAGGTGAGAAAGAAAAGAAAGGAGACTCTTCATTAAGATCTCGAAGTAAGCGGTCCAAGTCTTCAAAACACAAATCACGCAAACGTACCAGTGAATCTCGTTCTAGAGCAAGAAAGAGATCATCTAAGTCCAAGTCTGGTCACGCTCAAACACGTTCAAGGTCACGTTCAAGACGCAGGAGGAGGAGCAGCAGGTCAAGATCAAAGTCTAGAGGAAGGCGATCTGTATCAAAGGAGAAGCGCAAAAGGTCTCCAAAGCACAGATCCAAGTCCAGGGAAAGAAAAAGAAAAAGATCAAGCTCCAGGGATAATCGGAAAACTGTGAGAGCTCGGAGTCGTACCCCAAGTCGGCGGAGTCGGAGTCACACTCCGAGTCGTTGAAGAAGATCTAGATCTGTGGGGAGAAGGAGCTTTAGCATTTCCCCGAGCCGAAGGAGCCGCACCCCAAGACGACAGAGCCGCACCCCTAGCCAAAGGAGCCGCACCCCGAGCCTAAGGAGCCGCACTTCTAGCCAATGGAAAAGATCAAGGTCGGTTGTAAGAAGACGAAGCTTCAGTATCTCACCAGTCAGGTTGAGGCGATCACGGACACCCTTGCGAAGAAGGTTTAGCAGGTCTCCCCTCCGCCGTAAGCGGTCTCAATCTTCAGAAAGAGGCCCATCGCCTAAACGCCTGACAGATCTGAATAAGGCTCAATTACTTGAAATAGCCAAAGCTAATGCAGCTGCCATGTGTGCTAAGGCTGGCGTTCCTTTACCGCCAAACCTAAAGCCTGCACCTCCACCTACCATAGAAGAGAAAGTTGCTAAAAAGTCAGGAGGAGCTACTATAGAAGAACTAACGGAGAAATGCAAACAGATTGCACAGAGTAAAGAAGATAATGATGTAATAGTGAAAAGGCCTCATGTTTCGGATGAAGAGGAAGAAGAACCTCCTTTTTATCATCATCCCTTTAAACTCAGTGAACCCAAACCCATTTTTTTCAACCTGAATATCGCTGCAGCAAAGCCCACGCCTCCAAAAAGCCAGGTCACGATAACAAAAGAGTTTCCTAGCCCTAACCGGTTTGGCTCAGTGATAGAGCATCGGCCTGCGGACTGAAAGGTCCCAGGTTCGATTACGGTCAAGGGTATGTACCTTGGTTGCGGGCACATCCCCAGTAGGAGATGTGTAGGAGGCAGCTGATCAATGTTTCTCTCTCATCGATGTTTCTAACTCTGTATTCCTCTCCCTTCCTCTCTGTAAAAAATCAATAAAATATATTAAAAACAAACAAAAAAAAGAGTTTCCTGTGTCATCCGGATCTCAGCACCGAAAAGAAGTGGCAGACAGCGTTTACGGAGAGTGGGTTCCTTTCTGGCCTCCAGGGCTGCGCCTCCCTGGTGCTCCCTGGCTTCAAGGGCCCTCGTCCTGGTGGCTTTGTTAGTTGAGCTTCTCCCAGGGAATTTCTGGGTCTAAATGTTTGGGTATTTTTGGAGGGCAGGGCGGGGCCGAGTGTGACCGCCTCTCTCCCACAAGGAAGAACAGCCATTTTCTCTTTGTTAACTCAGTTACAGACTTACATTCATAAACGAGAAAAGGCTTTCTATATTGGACATATTAGAGCTCATTCCTGCCTACCAGGACCCTTAAGCGAAGGAAATTATCAGGGGGAATTACTAACTCGCCCAGTAGTTTGTACAGCTCTCGAAGAAGGCCGGCGGTCTCCTGCCATTCACCATCAAAATGCTTCTGCTCTCCGTCTATATTATCGCATATCTAGAGAAGCTGCTCGAAGTATTGTGCGTGACTGCGGCCATTGTCCTACTCATTTTCCTAGCCCTGCTACTGGAGTTAATCCAAGAGGACTTAGACCCTGTGACTTATGGCAGATGGATATTACTCATGTCCCATCTTTTGGCAAACTTTGCTATGTGCATGTTTGTATTGATACCTTTTCTCATGTTATCCTTGCTTCTGCACGTACAGGAGAAGCCTTTAAAGATGTAAGTCAACATTTATTCCAATGTTTTTCCTACCTAGGAATACCAAGGGCACTTAAAACAGACAATGGGCCTGCCTATACCTCTAGAGCTTTTAAAAACTTATGCTCTACATTCAGCATCGCACATAATACAGGAATACCTTACAATCCTCAAGGCCAAGCAATAGTAGAAAGGGCTCACCAAACTTTAAAAACACAAATTAAAAAATTACAAGAAAATGAGTTTAAATATTCCTCTCCTCATCATGTTCTACAACATACTCTATTTGTAATTAATATACTAAATGTAGATTCTGAGGGAAATTCCCCGATGTACAGACATTGGAACCCTGATCTAACTAAACCTAAAGTCCTCGTCAAATGGAGAGACTTGCTTACAGGAGCCTGGAAGGGACCTGATGTACTTTTAACCCGGGGGAGAGGATATGCTTGTATATTTCCACAGGACGCAGACTCACCTGTGTGGATTCCAGACCGCCTAGTCCGACCTTATGTCTCACCACCCCCCGTCTCCGGCTCACCCTAGAACACCTGACCAGTGCCCATTTGCAGCAGATGTGCAGCCCTGAGCAGGAACAACCTGTCATTGGGAGGATCACATGTGCCTCCTTTTTGTCTTTCCACATGTCCCAGCTTTGCCCCGCGTGTCCTTTCCTTTTTCCTTTTTTTTAAATCTAACTACTTGTTTGCTGGTTCTTTGGCCTTTCTCCTTCTCTCCTGAACACAGCCTTTTCTAGAATCTCCCTACCCTACTGTTCCAGGAAGGGCACCTCCCTTTTCTATCGTGACTAGGGGGTGTCTGGTATATGCCCCATACATGAAGTTGTCTTGTGCCAAGAGCCTGACATCCTTGGCTGAGAAAGCCCTGTCCTGGGACTCTCCTTTGTCCTGTATTTGACGACCCTCTTCTTACAATCCAATTGCCCATAGCTGTTGCCTGAGCTCTCTGTTCATACTGAAGTTAAAGCCTCATGGTGGCTGGTACCATGGATCTGTCTCTCGCCCAATGGTGTGAGCTGGGCCCTCCCTGGAGAAGAAACCTGGGTTCCCCAAGATATGTGATCAATGCCGGGGCCCTGCCAGCAGGCGAGGGGATCCCAAGGCAGTTGCTGGGCGTGGAGGCCACGGGGGCATAGGCTACCAAGGAGACAGAACTGAACCTCACATCACCCTGCTTGGCCCTGGAAGATGGCTGGTTAGTCAAAGACGGGTAAGATTCCTCAGGGAGGAACGACCTAAGACAGGCACAGTCGCAGAGGGGCCGGCAGGAGAGAACTTGGGGGTCAACAGAGGGGGGGCACAGATCCTCACCCCCCCCAACTATGCAGGGGCTTGAACACTCGCCCCTTCTGAGGGAGGTCTCCTGCCCCCATGGCTGCTTCCCGCTTCCCACGCCCAGCTCAGATCGGGACCCAGATAACAGAAAGACTTGGCCCAGCTCAGATCGGGACCCAGGTAAAGACAGAGACTGGCTGACAGCAGCTGCCCTCTCACTGCAACAGGACTTGTTTCCCATTTCTACCTTGGACCACAGGGAAAGGGGCAGCTGAAGGAAAGGGCTGTGTCAGGATGCTGCCTTCTTCCCTTTCTCCTCCTTCTTTATTCTAAACACTTCCATGCCTTGTAGTTCTTTTGCTTTCTCTTCTTTTTCTCTCTACTACCCT